TGGCTCCTTGGAGGCCTGGTGCGGGCAGGATGGCGGCCGTGCGTATTTCCGAGCCTGTTCTGGGGCTTGACAGGATCATGGTGGCTGCAGAGTCCCAAAAAGGACAAGTCCAGACGGGGTCAGGAGGTCTCAGAGCTACATCCCATCTGGCGCTCGAGTCGGTCAAACACTGCACAACGTGGCCATCAGTCAGGTTCGGAGTCGGGAGAGAGCCGGCGGTGGGAGTGAGCTTAATCAAGCTCATTGACGACCAAGTTTGAAGCTCCCGAGACGAGATGATTTGCATGACGGCTTTTGGCTCTTTCTCAAGATTTGCATTGTCCAAAACTTTTGCTTGGCCGGATGAATGCGGCTGTTGAAAAAGACGAAGGCCAAGGCAGCTTGGCGGGTGGTTTGGACGCACGCATCAGAGCTGTCAGAGGTTCGTGTGAGAGTCAGACAGCACAGAGAACGACGACGACGTGTGCGTGTCTTTGGGTTGAAAGAGGTGGATTGATGCCTCATCGTCTCAACGTCGATCGAACGTTGGAAACAGGGTTGGCAAAGTCTGTCGAGCCGTCTGGCAGCAGTAGCAGGATGCGATAAAGACGAGCGGCCTTGGGCTGCGCTGCAATGGGCTTGATGGTGTCAAGCTCCGGCGATGGCTTGGCATGCAGTTGCGCAGAGATACTGTAGTTTCGGTGGCGGGTCAATCCGTTGTTGTAGCAGTAGGAGGTATTCATGCGCGCAGAGGTGCGACGGCGACGCGGCCGGGGAATGCTGTTGATGGTCGGCGGATGAAACGCGTCGAGTGTGTATGGAGGTGGAATGTTTAGTGCAAGAGTTGCCCTGGCCGTTTGTCCCGCTCCCGAGTCTGCGCTGCGCTGCTTCTGGTACCGATTCCGTCATTGGCCATCCCTACCTGCTCCCTAATCTCCCCATCGCTTTGGCCGCAAGACTTTAATGACCTTTATAACCATCCACCACCCTCGCTCGTGTTTCGTCCTCACCGTCACTCGACCTTTAACCGTCCCCTCGGCCTTATTCCATTCAGCTCCACCTCTGATTTGAAGATTGCCTCTATAATCGACTGCTCCACCACCACCATCACCAAGTCACTCGTTTCCTCCACTCTCGCTCCACCTCCACCATGCCAATCGTCAATTTGGCCTCCCGGGACTCGTGCAAGGACAACGACCAGGGCAACACGTGTGAAAAGCCCGTCAGCACTGCCCTCAAGACTGGTGTTCCCATTGCCATTTTCGTGTGGTATGTAAATACCGCGCCCTTGCGTCCCCCAGACCGGCACTCTAACACGTTTACTGTAGCATCTTCCTCGCCGCCGCCATAGTTTTCGTCATGCTCCTCCGAAAGCGCAGGCGCGTCCTCAGCAAGGAGGAGCTCTACGACAAAGAAGACGGCCGCCGCTCGCTCGACTTTGACCTCGACGGTCCCACTGGTTACAAGTACGTTCCAATGCCGGCAGCCCCCAAGGCGGCCGTCGTCAAGGGGAGGAGATGATTCCCAGGCCTCCCACCGACGCAACAACCACTCGACCCGGCTGCTCCTCAGCAGCATTCTCCGACACTGTAATCATCGCCTTGCGAGTGCGCATAATCCCGCCTAGAAATTTCTTCTCTCTCGCGACCATTCTCTGATGCGCACCAACGACCGGCTGCCCGGAGCGAAGCGAGTGCGAGTCACGGGGCGGCATGCGGCCCGGCGCCCACCATTCTTCTTCCCTTCCCCGCAGTCTGTCTGCACCCGCACCTGCACCTCCCACGCCAGCACGGGACGTAGCGGCAGGCCGACCGCCAACATTCTCTTCTCGTCTGCGCCCACGCGCACCTGTAAATGATAACCACTAATGTATACACCGTACGACGACGACGACCGACGACTGCACCACCACGGATCCGCGCGGATTCCAAAAGATTTCCACTAGTATCTCATGCAGCCAGCACGACCAGACCAACCTCTCGAAACCACTGGCGAGAGATTGCAATTTCCGCTGTGCAGCGCCCCGCCACACCTTGTACAGCCGGCGGCGCCGCTGCCATTCGTCCGCCGGCGAGCATCCAACAACCATAAAACGCAAAGGGTCCAACGACATGGCGACAGCCGCGGCAGCCATTGCGTATATTTGGAACCGAAACGCATTCGCAAGTGATGCAACCCCTGCCCGGCGGCTCGAGCGTAGGTTGTGGAGAGAGCATGCTTTTCGAGCGCCGACGTCGACTGGCGAATGCGAGCCGCCTCCGCCACGGCGGCGATAGGCACGCGCAGGGCAGGGATGCGAGATCTGGGGGAGAAAGCATGCGCTATCGCGGGCTACTGTACATATTCACTACTGCTGCTACTGCTGCTGCGGTGCTATCGCGATGACGCTGGCCTTGCTAGACAATGTCGACGACAGAATTTAATGCCGCGACGATGATCTGCCATTTGCTTCCCAACCTCACCCGCTGTCGCGCGTCTGCTGATCGTTTGATGTGCAGGCCAGTCAGCCACATTGTAACATACCCAAGTATCCCGCATCCACACGCCACTATCTCGGTCGTACTCACTGGCAGGAAATGCAAACACGTCCGCTGACAGGTCGCCTTCTGATGTCCCTCTATGCCTCCACTCCATGCCACTGCCACCACACATAACCACATCCTCCGTCCGTCACTTCATCAGCCGCTCCCGCTTCGTGCCCTACATCCCTCCCGTTTCCGTTTCTCTCTCGACACTCATCCCTCGGAAAGAAACCGAGCTTCGGGCGAGGAGTCTTCAGCCAAGCAGTAAATGCCTGCGTTCTGCAGCGCTGCACTGCACCTCGCGCACAGATCGACGCCGCTAGCCTGTTTGGGTAGCTGGAGCTCGGGTCCATCTGTTTGTCTGTCTGTCTGGCGCTGTGTTGGCCGACCGACTGGAGGTTGATTGTCCTGGCTAGATGCGCTCACGACCTCTTTCTACTCATAGGACGACGTCGAAGTAGTCAAACGAAGCAAATATCAACCTCAGACTACAACTTTCCACCACTTCTCCTCCCTCTCCTTAAACCTAACGAAAGCAAAGTCAAGTGCTGAGGTTGAATCGCTCTCAACCTATTCAGCAGTCCCCATTGACCCAACTTCAAACGTCTACGAAGACCTCGCTTATGACTGAAAATTTGAGTTCTCGCTGCTACGTTCGAAGTTGACCTTATGTGGCAATGGTCCATCATTGCATCATCAAACGTCTGTGAAAGCCTTGCTTATGCTTGAAAACTTGAGTTTTCGCTGCTATGTTCGACATTGGCTGAAAGGGGTAGCTTGATTACTGTCCTTTGCTTGCAACCCCTCAGAGAAATTTGAACAACAGCCCAAAAAGGCAATAGCCCGTCTTCGCAACTTCAAACGTCTATAAAAATCCCTGGGTTGAAAAATCGATTTTTGAGGATAGACGTGCAACATTGAGCAGGTCAAGTAATTACCTCTTCGAGTCAATTTCAAACGCAGCGACGGAAGTGCGTCGAGGACCTCTACGGACCGCGTGGTGGATATTGATAGACGTTTAACGTTGAGCAGATCTGGCAATTACCTCTTTGGGCCAACATTGAACGTAGTAAGGGGAGGTGTCAAGGGCTCCTCTAGAAACGCGTTTAAGGATTTGTATGGAAAAATTCCACACCAGGCTCCAATTGACCGCGTGGTCAGGCTTGACAGACGTCTGATGTTGAGCAGTCCAGTGATTTGCCCTTTAGGCCAATTTCGAACGTAGTAAGAGGGAGGTGTCAAGGGATCGTATGGGAACGCGTTCAAGGTTTTGTAAGCAGTCGACAGTTGGTCTCCAATTAACCGCGCAGTCGTTCTTGATAGATACTCAATGTTGAGTAGATCTAGTAATTACCCCTTTAGGCCAACATCGAACGTAGTAATGAGAGGTGTCAAGGGCTCCTCCAGAAACGCGTTTAAGGATTTATGTGAAAACATTTAAACCCAGGCTCCGATTGACAATGTGGTCAATCTTAATAGACGCTCGATGTTTAAAGTGGCATTGCTCTTTCGGGCCACTGGAAAAGCGGAAGCTGAAAGAAAAGCAGTCGTCGCTTGCCTCGTATGTCGAAGTGCGCACCCGACTGCTCCTTGTAGACATCATTATAGAAAGTGAGTCCTCTTTCTCTAGGTTCTCACGTAGGCGCTTGGATGCTCCCTATCTTTCAAAACTCTGGCCCAGCCACCAACATGAAGCCCTGAAATTAGTGATCTCTCTCGTCGCCGCCGTGACAGTGCCCCAAGGAGGAAAAGCTCAGTGGCTTTCATGAGAGCGTGGCGCCAGATCAGACGGAAGCCGCAACGCCGAGGCGGAATGAAAGATCCCAAGTATTCAGGCGCAAAGGTGCTCGAATGCTCCCTGTACACACGCTTTTGCCTTTAGTGAGTCTAACCTCCTTGGACATCGTGAGTAGTTTTGGCGCAGAACCTCAATCTTGACCTTTTTTTCCAACGCCCACGACTTCAGTTGCCTCATGCCTGGCAGTCTCGTCGCATTTCCGTCTATGCCCACGCCTGCTTTTGCAGATGGAAGATCGTAGTAGACAGGGCTTGCCACTAGGCCGTGCGGTGCGTGTTCCCACCTGTGCCATAGCCGTTGTCAACTGTGGTGGGGCGCTTCGAGGAAAGCCTTCCGTGCACTTGTCCGGCACTTGGCTATTCGCTTTAGAAGTCATGATGAGAGACGGCAATATGGCTAGAGGTGGTGGAGAAAAAGAGCACGCCGTATAGCGGCCGAAGCGCGGACGGGCAAAACGCGCTAACCCGATCATGCGAAAATCGCTGACTTGGCATCCTTCGAGTTTCCATGATCCTTCCACTCTATTCCATGTCCAGCTGCAGTTGAACTTTCGTGAGGCAGTCAAGATAGGGGGAAAAATGAAGGCTGTTGGGTGGATTCTCAGTTTCGGCTCGAGGCTGGCCACAGACCCCCTGAGCAGGGGGCGCCCCTTTTTTGATACCAGTATATTATTTTTTCAAGCGCTCTATCGACCAATCAGAGGTCTATTAGTGTAGTGGTGAGCACATCGGATTTTGACGTAAGCAGCGTATTCTATACGAATATGATGTGATGCTGAATGTTCCGGTAACCCCGGTTCGACTCCGGGATAGACCTTTTGTGTTCTTTTTCCCCTGGATCCACCCCTTCTCTTTTTGCCCCACCTTCCCTTTTGCAGCACTACCAAGGCAGATCAGCGGTGTTTGATGAATGTTCCCAGTACATACACATACGCTTTCATGGGCTCAAGTGCCGAAGTCCTCTTGACGTGGGGCGCTTGAAGACTCCCTGAGCATACGCAGCCGCCCTTGGCCATTTGGACATTCTCTGCGGTGCGAGGTGTTCGTACGCTCCCTGGGCGCGCGCAGGAGGACTGTGAACTTGTGACTTGTTGCTGGGATCGGGGCAAAGCTGGCGATGATGGAGACTCCCTGAGCACACGCAAAGGACTTTGAACTTGTGACTTGTTGCTGGGACCAATCCAATACTGGCGACGAGGGAGACTCCCTAGACGCACACAGGAGGACTTGTGACTGTTTGCTCGTTGCCGGCAACAAGGCAAAGCTGACGATGATGGACACTCCCTGAGCACATGCAAACCCCCCCTTGGCCGTTTGAATAATCTCTGCGACGCGCACGGCTTTCGGTCCTACCCCATGAAGTTGACAATTCTTTTGCGGTACACTGTGTGAGGCATGGTCTACTGGCTGGCCGGGGCAAGAGTGGGAGTATTGGTGGACTCTGTCCAAAACTTTCGGAGGTTGTCGCGTAGGTGTTCCTATTGGCCAGAACAGTCCTGCCGGCAAGAGGATCTGCTGTCCGAAGATAGGGAGTTGTCGAAGGCTGCGAGACGACTTCTTTTGTTGGTTCTGGATCGCAAGAAAAATTTCAACAGGCGTCCCCACAAATTCTTTGGAGCGATCATCGACGTGGTCGTTGGCGAATCGATGCACCAGCACAGCCCAAGTTCCAGAAATACATACGCCCGTATCATCGGAATCGAACAGTCGCAATCGGGGCCTAGATTCCCATCAGTGGCTCGGTGCGTGTTGTTCATGCCATCATAGCCCAGGCTCAACGTGGCCAGCTTGCAGCAGCGTCATTCCGGCAGGCCCCATCCAACATTATGCGTGGGAGCAAATTCTGAAGCGCGGCAGATGGAATTGGTGACGTCCTGGCGGAGCACATTGTATATTGAAGTCAGTGCTTGGTGGAGCATAAACGCGTGGTTGACATGCCACCGGGCAGCGGTTACGGCAGCGGAGCTCGGGGCGGTCGATCCTGGGCGCAAGTCAGCCCACGACTGGGGTTGCAAGGTCTGATCGACCATCTGGCGAATTTTGGCTGAATTGGAATGGCCATTTGCGTGCTCTCTCCGCGGCGGTCATGATGTGAAAGCAGAGGGTTCACGTGGCAAGGAGATCTCGCGGGCGTGAAGATCATCCGCGGGGTGGCTATTTTAAAGAAGAAGATGCTGGCTCATCAAAGACGACTTGAAGCAAAGTCCTAGAACCATCCCGACTTCATCACCGCCATGGAAACAATTTTTGTCGACTCCTTCGAGGCCCACGAGCAGCTGGCGGCTAGGCCAGACTGGAACAGGCGGCGGCGAATTCGCAGCGATTTCGGCAAAGTCAGCGATTGCGGCAAGTTGAGCGATTCCGCTGGGCAGGAATCATCATCATGGCAGGGCCAGGAGCCGAGCAAAGACCGGCATTGATTGAGTGAAACGGCGGGCGGGGCGGGAAGTTCAGGAGTTGGAAAACTGTCGTGATGGCAGCGTCGACAATCAGACAAATGTCAGCCCACACCGGGCACTTCAGGGGCGGAATGCCCTCTGGGCGGAAGCGTTGCGAGCCTCTCGGGCGGGCCCGACGAGTGGCCTGATCAGCACGCCAGCTCGGAGACGCAGCGGCAGCGGCAGTGTAGCGTCACGGGTCGGCTCACCCGTCCGGCAACGCCCTTGAGTTCCGTCCCAAAATCGCCGTGCAGCTTTTTTTTCACGACGCCTTGCCAAATAAATAAATGCTGCTACGGCACTTTGCCCTGGCCATGATCTCATCAGCATCACCAACAGCATCAAACAGCACTCCGCTCCCGCTTCTGCTTCCGCTACCGCATCCACATCCACATCCACCACCTCAGCAGACAACATTCCACCCCAAGTCATGACCTGCGATTGGCTCGAAGCCACCATCATGCCTTCTTTGTGTTAGCACTCCCGAAGCCCGCTGGCCGCTCCGCTGTGCATAGGGCTGACCATAGCTCCTCCAGCATCGTCCCACGAAGCATCAAACAGCTTCGACCCCCTGGACTGGATCAACGCAGACTGCCTCGACTTCCCCACCACGACGCTCGATTCATCATCATCATCCGTCACCACGCCACCCCTGCTGCCGCTCAGTCACACCACCCTCACGCCAGATTTCCGCAATCGCTCCATCCGCCCGCGGTCAAAAGACCCTCTGGCGCCACAACATACCCCCTTCCAGCCAACAACCGCCGCCAATCCCTTCGAGACCCTCCCGACTTTGTCCGACGACTATCCCTTTGAGGAATCTTCCAACGCCCTCCAATCAGCTTCGCCCTTCCACGTCGACTTTTCTCCAGACATGGCCCCCTCCCCCACCCCCTCCCTGTCCGGCCCCGAGTCCCCCTTCTCCCACGAAGATCATTCCATGGAGGGACTCACGAGCGCCACCACCACTGCTCCATCATCCCCGCGTAGATCTTCCGCTATCTCTCTCAAGCGCTCCGCGCCCTCGTCCCCTGTGATGGACACCATTCCACCTGCCCCAAAGAGGCAGCTCCGCACCCGTCACCACGAGGAGCCCCAGCACGACGATGATGCCCCTCTCGATGCCAGAGCTTCTGCTCGCGCCGCCTCCAACAGGGCCCAGGCCAAGACTCGCCAGCCTCACAACATGGTCGAGAAGAAGTACCGCGAGGGCCTCAACAACGAGCTCGAGCGTCTCCGCCGAGCCGTCCGCACCCTCCCTCAACCACGCACGCGGTCCCTTTCTTCCGATGACGACGACGACGGTTACGGCTACAGCTCATCCGTCCCCAAGCCCAGCAAGGCCGCCGTCCTCGCCGGTGCCGTCGACTACATCCGCTACCTCGAGACGGAGCACGAGCGCCTACGCAGCGAAAACGAGCAGCTCCGCGAGCTCGAGGGCCTGCGCCGCCGCCGCGAGGAGGGCTGGGTCTGGCGCAACCGCGCCGCGGACCCCCTGGGGTTTTTGAGTTAAACTTGCCCGACGAGGTCGAACGGGCTGCTTGGATTCTTTTCAACATGGCGCAACATCAACAACATCATCCGCGGCAGGACGGCGTTATTTTTGGGAGTGGGAATGGGAATGGCGATTGACAGGTTTTGGTCTAAAAGGATACCCCATCAAGCAAGCGCAAATTTATAGAGCCGTGCATAGAAAGCGGTCTTGAACAGGCGTTTGTGACTGGGGTTTGTAAACACTCCGCTTTCTTATGGAATCTTGACGAAGTAGTATGAAATGTAATATCTCCACTTTGAGCTTTTGCACTTCTCGATTGAGCATCATGAGCCTTTTCCTCGAGCTCTGAATAACTCCCTCAAAAGATCGGTATGTCTTTCAAGATTTGGAGCGCGTATTAGATTTGGTGGTGTGAGACGTTGCACAAAACACGCCAATGACGTCACATCGATCGCAGATCTGATCTCTGGGTCCCGGGGCTGCTGTGGGGAACCATCCACCGCACCGCAAATCCATCTCTGCGCGTCATCGACTCTCAGGGACTCCCCACGCATCTGATCTCATCCATCAGCCATCAGCCAGCTCCCAAACGGAATGGCCTTGGCGCGTCTTTGTGGCGCTTGCGGCTCCAAAATGCGCGGCTCGCAGTTCGCCTCTCCCACACCTCAAACCTCTCCCTTTACCTAGCCACCGGATGCCGATTCCACTACTTCGTACTGCAAGAGCTTCGCAAATTGCACTCCGCCTTCTCACTTCCAGCTCATTCCTGCACGTATCGAGAAGCCGAGTCGCGCAGCGTTTGCTGTCCACCATGCCGCCCAAGCGCAAAGCCGCTGCGACTCCCATCGCAGCTTCGGAAGATGTTGCGCCTCCCCCCAAACGACCAACTGGTCTCTCGCGAAGGTCTTCAACGCGTACTGCAGCGCGCAGGAATACGAATCCAAATGTCAATAACGAAGTCATAGACGCCCCCAATGCACTCAGGGCGAGCCCGGATGCTGCGCAGGTTGAAGACGAGCCTGTTTTGGAGCAGACGGCGCAGGAGACCAGAAATGTCGTGTCAAAAGGTGGATTGAAGAAAAAGGAGACCAAAACAAAACCAAAGGCAAGACAGGAAAAGAAGCCAATTCAAGCTCCCATCAAAAAAGAAGACGCCGGAGAAGATGCGTTTGGAATGGACCCAGAAGCTGATGGCGGAGAGGATGCGGGCGAGGAGGAGATCAAGGCCGCGGTCTCAAGACCACCACCGGTCAACTCTGATTATCTGCCGCTTCCTTGGAAAGGACGGTTAGGATATGTAAGTGGAAGCAGAGCCGCGTCGAGTCCAAGTAGCTGACAACTCCAGGCATGTCTCAACACCTACCTACGCAACAGCAACCCTCCCGTCTTCAGTTCTCGTACTTGCCGCATCGCGTCAATCCTCGACCACCGACATCCTCTCAAAGACCCCTCGCAGCCTGAACATGCCACCAAGAACAGACCGGACAAAGAGCAGCCAGCCGAAACCAAACTCGGGCAGAAGTTTGTGGAAGAGTTGGGGCTGGCAAATGCTAGAGACATCATCAAGATGGTCAGGTGGAATGAAAAGTATGGTATCAAGTTCTTGCGATTGAGCAGTGAAATGTTTCCGTTCGCAAGCCACGAAGAATATGGGTATAAGCTCGCTCCATTTGCAGCGGAGACTTTGGGGGCCGCTGGTAGGGTAATTGCAGAACTGGGTCACAGAGTGTCCACTCACCCTGGCCAAGTAAGTCCATACAACTTCATCGTAAAGTATCCTCACTTCTGACAGGGTGCAGTTTACCCAACTTGGTTCACCTCGACAATCAGTCATCAAAAGTGCCATCCGAGACCTCGAATACCATGATGAGCTGCTCTCCCTCC